CTGGAAATAATACACTAGATAAGCGTACAATCCACTGATGACCAAAGCTTGACCCACCTCGGGGAATTCGTCGACGGGAATTCACTAGGAATGCAACAGATAGGGTTACAAGAAAAGCGACTTGAATCCAAATGGAAAACATCCCGCTTACTGTATTGAATTTCGTTTCGCTCGTCTTTTGTACCACTCGAATATGACATATATCCGTCTTACTTTCGGAGGAACTATAGAAGATCGTCCGTGTATCGGCGAACGCGGAATCTTTAATAGAATAATATAGTGGCGTGGTAAAGGGATGGCTTACCTAGCTTCCTTAAAAGTATTTTTATTTTCAGGTATGCCAGGGGCGAGAAAGGGGTGAGACTGAATAAGATAGCGAAACGTTAAATCCAGCACACCTTAGCGCCCGTCGACGACGACCGCTATTACATGGAAGACCGGCGCAAATATTGGAAAGTAACACCGTAGATGTATTTGGAATCATCTTAGCTACAATCCTACAGTTTTATATTTTCAAAATATTTCTTGGAAAAAAAAGTTATTTTACGAAAAAAAGCTTTATTTCTAAATACTCTAAATGACATTTCCGGCCTCTCTGGGACACATGTTGGTTTTTGAAGCCACGAGATTTTGGCCGCTTAATAAGCTGGCGCTAAATTCGGCTCCGTCGGCTAAAGACCGGAGCTCGAACCGGCCTTCACATGCAAATTCATGACACCTCATCCTTGGGCATAGAATGGTATTAAAAATGACTGCATCTAACGTTAATCCTAGTTTATATACTTGTTATTACCACCCAGGTCACCCAAATCCCTAAACCCTATGCGGGCGACCTCTGATTCCGTGAAGTTGGCCGCTTACATAAGTGCTAACCCTAACCGGAATGATAGCCAACGTACGCTAAAGGTATGCTGGATTTAACGTTCCGCTACCTTATGAAGTAGTGTCTACGAAGACGGAGTCAGAGGTCGATTATTACCATTCGATTGGCGCCTAGATCGGGGTTGATGCGCGAATACAGGCTTGCGTCACCTCCCGACTGTTTAGAGAGCGGCGGACAGGATGGGATATAAACCCATCAAATATCCCGCAAGATATCCTAAGGTGATAATCAGTAATAACTGGTAAAATTCGAGCTCCTTCCATGTATGAGCCGGCGGCGGCACTGTCTGGGACCGTACCGAGCGCAAACTTGAATATACCATTTTTTCTGCTTCTTTTGAGACTTCGTATGGGCTACTATGCTAAACGGTCATGGAAGACGATGAAGCAGGAAGACAAGACAGTCACATTCCTTTACAACTTTGCTCACCGTGTACTGTAGATTTACGCCTACAGCTCAAGCAACTCCTACAACTTCTGCAAGAGAGAGAAGAGCCATTATTGGTTCCAAGTCATCTTAGCAGTCATGTGGGCTATATAATCGATTATTTTACATCTAAACCAATACAAGTCAACTGCCCGCCGAATCGTCATCATCTTCCACCTTCGACAACCTCCATGTCACTCCTTTCACACCTGAACTTGAAAATAAAATAGCTGAATATAATGTTCATATAACTCGTAAATCGATCCTCTCTAAATCATACCGATACCCAACTGGCACGCAACTCGAATACCCGAGACAAGCCCAGACTCCTCCTCCTCCATTGGACACCTTTTCCAGTTGAAACCCGGTGAACCTTCACCACTGGACTCTGTGGTATATTCACTGAATGCTTCGGGCTACAATACAAGATCATTAGAAAAGTGCTTGCCAAAGAAGAAAAGGATTAACACACTATTCCCATTCAACCAACTTCGATAGCCGGCACTCCTCATCGCCGCAAAATTCCACATGTTGGAGATAATAACTATTCCCCCAATCGGCCATAACCAAGACATATTCTATTAGGCTCTCCCTTATGTCCTATTCCAATGCTCCAGCTTCGATGTGTTCAATCCCATGAGGTGCGACGTGTGAGAGGCTGCGGGTGAATTTAGTGGCATTGTGACGAGACGAACGGGGTGTATAAAGAGGGGAGCGAGAGTACATTGGAATGAGTGACTAACCGGAGATAATAAAATGAGCGAAAAGGTATTCTGGAAGGCGATGAATGTTAAGCTTTTAGAGGCTGGACTTTATACAACGGTGAAGCTGACTCATTGACACATCACTCAGCTATGAACTGCTTAAAATTTCCAGTAATTTCAGTAACTGCAAATATAATCATTGGCGGCATGTGCTGCATAGATTAGACATACTAAGGCTGGATGGCTGCGGGATTGAGGCCGGGATATTTGAGGGCGCGGGAGGTGAGGCATGTCACGGTCACAGGTACGAGGGTCCTAGGGCTCAATGACGAATATAGAAGGGGACGGCAGAAATCTGCAGGGATCTAAGCGCCAATCGAATGATAATAATCGACCCCTCTCTCACGAAAACGAGTCGGCCTCTCCGGAAACTCCGTATGCAGCATCCAAAAACGACCTGCGGATCTGTTAGAGGCTAAACACTCAACCGTGATAAACTCCTTAATAGGTAACGACGTTCAGCAAGATTTATATCATTAAATCGGGTGAGAAATTGGAGGGAAAAGAAAGAAAGAAATGATTGGAAAAAAATGGTGGAAAAAAATAGTCCCTCTACTGAAAGTCCAAGTTTTGATTAGAACTCAACTACATCGTAAAACATTATGCAACTGGTAATACACGTTGTGGAAGGCTAAGGACAAACATTAATAATAGATTGCCGATGTTGTACATTAGCCGACAAGATCAGGTGAATACATTATCAAATTGCTTCAGTGGCTTCCATTTCTGTCGCAAGAGCTGGTAGCTGATAAAGAGGATTTGTAATGCGAATGTAAATGTAAAGTTTCTGGGACAGGCAATTAACGTCATTTGGAAAGAGACAATCAGTCATCATTACAGCTGAATTCAAATATGGTGACGGAAGCTTCCTAAAGAGATGCCAGACTTTGCAAAAATAGCAGCTATGAGCGCATAGATCTAGACCACAAAAGTCATTCTTGCACGACTTACGAACTTAAGCTTAAAGCTAAACCTTATTGTCGTTTGCGGTAGACCTTGCGGTAGCGCTCCCACGATCTTTTTGCGCGCGCTCCCTAGTAACTATTCTTCTTTTTATTCTCGCTCATCCGCTCAGTATTCAGCCTTCATCGAATAATACAATCTATTTCTACATACCTAAAGAAAATGAACATGGAACAAAATTGGCAGAAAAGCTACTCCGAGCCATAGCTGATGTTTGGGTGACCAAACAGCTTAATCCTTTTTTTCCGAGAGAACCAAAGCTCCAAGAGATCTAGGTACGGAATATGTTAGTGATATATATACTGAAATATTTATGACCAACCATTTTGGGATATCCCGCGCCTGAACTCCTCCCAGCGTAGGTGCGGACATCGAACACCCTGCTGGTAAGAGAAAACTTGCTGGTGAGGTTGTTCCTCCTACAATTGTTGTTTTTTTCATCGAAATCACTAAGGGATATGTATTATGAATATATTATGTTCTCCCAAGGAGTAAGTCCTTTGTAGTTTTTGGAACAAATACAATTGTGCTGTTTGATTCCCCAAGTACATCAGGAAACCTGACCATGGCGCTTATTTTTCCATAGCAGCCGTCCATCGTAGACGATGATCCCGACCTTCAGAAGGGAGATAATGTCAATATTACACTATAATATCAATGTATTGGATTAAAATATATTTATTGGCACCTCACATATTTTTATAATAGGAAGAAATGCTCGAGGCGTCTGAAGGTAGTGCTATGGAAGGTACCATAGCTGTCAAGAAAGTATGAGAGCTAGCGGCGCTATAGTTGCTATAATCGCTATAATAGCAACTATAGCATTTGCCAGCTTTACTGATGTACCAGTCATACCCGGGAGTGACATTCTGGGTGATTTCTTTTCGTTTAAATTTTATTTAGGTATATAGAAATACATTACATTATTCGATGGAGGCTAAATACAGAGTGGATGAATGAGAATAAAGGGAAAGAATATTAATTAGGGAGCGCGCGCAAAAGGACCGTGGGAGCGCTACCGCAAGGTTTACTGCAAATAATCTACAATTAATGCGCGGTGAGTATCATAAAATATTAACAAGACAGGTGAATTACGTGCTCCAACTTGAATACAACACACTAAGGCATATTTTCTTCCTTCTATCAATGTCCATTCTCCTCGATGAATCATAAAAGCTACATAATGAATAATATCAGCCATCGTGAAGGTCGTCAAAGTGACCAACTCAGCTGCGAACAGCCAGCTTATTGACGGTGTTGGCTCGCAGACCCATTTGAGCGTACATCCCTCTTTCCACCCTCTCAATATTTCCATTCCCCACTCCATTAGAAATAACATTTAATTAATTAATCCACATTTCAGGTGGGAGAATCAGGAAACGTCCAAGCAGTTCTGGATCAACCACTCTCGTGAAGTGAGCTGACAGGGAGTTTCCTAAAGATATCAAATATTAACATGTAGGTCGTCTTCGAGCGAAGCAATGCTGATCATTTTGGGTATTGTGTAAACGGGTATTCATGAGAAAGCGACCGAGAGGGTACAGAAAAGAAAAGAAAATGGAAATATTTTCACTTTGAGAAATAGTTCTCGATGAACGTGTATTTTACAACAATACGCCTCATTAATCCGGAAGATGGAAAAGTAGACACGATCGATGTACAAGCCAAAAAAAAAAAGAATGTCGTATTTCCCCCAAACAAGAGAAGCTCGACTTCAAGCCCACAATGCATCGCTGGTTTCGAGAGGTCTATAGATCCCATCACTATGTAAAGAAATAGGAACCTAAGAGATACAGCCACCTCGATGCCATTTCGTCCTCTCTCAATAACAATCTCCGGGTAATGGACTGAATTAAGTGCAGTCCAGTATCCATAATACTGAGCATTAAAGCAAGTGGTTACCCACTGTAAAATAATATTGAGATGCCGAGGTTGACATTGATATTGAAAGGGAGCTAAAGCAGTGCACGCACCGGGAGTCAAACCCGAACCGCTTGCTAGCGCATCTGGAAGGCAAGCCTGATACCGTTTCACCACGCGTATTATGCCTCATCCATTATCAACACTGCGCCGCGGGATCCTACGCTACTCTTCAACATGCCTATTTTCCTTCATCTACGTTGTAGAAATAATAAAAATGTAATGAACTTTATTTACAAAGCACTGCGAGACCAGTTACTGAGAACGGCAGTCGACGGTGGACTCCTTAAGTCGCCGTGGTCATGGTCAAGATACGTGACCTTAAGATCATCGATGATAATACCGAAACGACCGGTACGAAGACCTAATCACAACGAAGCAAGATCGAGCTCAAGGCCGAGCTTTGAAGCGAATTCGGAATTTGGGTCGGAAAGGAAGAGGATCTAGGGAAGGAATTCGTCAGCTTCAAAATGATTAAAAAATAACCTACGTTGTCCTTCGCACCGGAAACACGTCCCCAGGTAGACATGACTAAAGGATCATTAGCAGCAACGAAGGCAAGCACATCTGCGCCTAATAATAATAGTATTCGAGAACCTTGACGGATTGAAGTTGATCGGCACCTTGAGCAACGAAGGGAATGGATGTTTCGCCTGGCCCAGAGGTAGGGTGGGCGTATGATAAATGACACAAATTTCGGCAGTCCAGTAATGGTCGCAGAGATATGGAAGAATGGGGGTCATGCAAGATATTTAAGATACGCAAGGACGATTGAGTACCTTTGCTGAACTTGGACACGTAGTCGTATCCCAACCCTCCGATGCACTGAAATTCGCGTAGAAGTGGTGCTTGTATACTGAATCCATCCTCCGAATCTGTGATTTCCCGAAAAAGGTGATATGGAGCTTCTCGAGACGTGGAAAGGTAGAAACAATACCCGAGGGGGAAATCCAGTGTCGTATCCACCGATCCTGCGTGAACGTTTCAGTTCACAAAACATGCAGAGTGCACAGTCGATCGTTACTGTCCGACATCTCGGCGGATTCGATTCGCGAGATCTGGCCATGTCGTCGGTCAAGCCACAGCCGGTGACTCACCCAGCCTCAGCGACATTTCCATTAAATCTCCCCAGAAACCTTGTCCAACGGATATATTTTTCTAGGAGAGCTTCGATATAATGTGGGGCTGTGTATCAGCCGTTACAAGGCAAAGTTAAGATCAAGTATACTTACCTAAGTATCCAGTCAATCTAGGATAAGTATTACAAAGATATGGCGTCTATTCTATATAAAGCTTTAATTGTAGCTACATAAATTTTATATTTTGGATGAGAAGAGCAACGATTCTCTCTGTCATGTGTTCCCTTCGAAAGGCTTCAAATAAATAAGTAACGACGAAAATCATAATAGGCTGAGTGCTAGTACTTAGTCCTTCTTAAAAAATTAAGCAAATGATATACTCCATCTGGGGAAGATTGGGAGGTGGGTAGGGTTACGGATATATATTTAGTGAGACGCTGATACTTATGTTGGAATATCATGGCATATTGCCTGCCTGGATAATTAAGCACGATGTTAATGTTATAGGTACCACACCAAATTTATGATATATAATTATGAGTAGTTCGGGTTCCTTGCTACTCGTAAGTACTGTTTAATATATTATATAATATGTATTTTTATTCATTTATTTAAGCTCTACCTCCGTTTTCCACCACTTCCTCTCCCTGTGTTGATTCTTTGCTCAGACACTTGTTTGACAACAATATACGGTACACAGCTCCCCTTCGCGCAGGTGAAATTCAACGATCATGTTTGAAATCCTATATAAGGCTCGCCGCTCCCATTGAGAAATTATAAAGTAGTGAACATTCTTAGTTAAGTACCAATCCCATTAAAAAATCTAAGGGTATCCCTAACATACACATTGCAATAATATATATCTAATCAACCTGATTTTGCTGAGAAAGCCTGGGAGGGGGAGCATCATTCTACGGTGTATGCACAAAGGGTCCCTCGCGGCACGGTCCGTGCGATGGGTTCGCACTGCACGACGAAGTTTATACGGCGTTCGATAAGTTCCTCAGCAAGGGTGAGCAGACCCATGGACAGTGTCGCTTTTGATACATGTTGATCATTCAGGGAACTGGAGATCGGATCAGCTTTTGCGGTTTGAACCTCGACAGGTCGTATCCAAGCGTGTGTGAAGCTCTTGGCGGAGGCTTAAAGCTGTGGGTGCTAGGGGTCGGCACCGTAGGTCTAGACCGTTTCTACGACACACGTAACCGTTCCGACGAGTTAATCCATATATTTGGCCGTAAGACGGTACGGTGGTCAATGGTGCCGTATTCGGCCGTAGAAACGGTCGATACGGCTTTTCGGCTATTCTTGTATCAGCCAATAGGGAGGCGTGCCTGTGCTCTCGGCAAACACAGCTTTACCCTCTCATCCGAATTTTGGGTGACAGGTATAGTAATGTTCGCTACACTATCTCACCAAGTCATATACTAAACGAACATGCGCAGGGCCTTCCATACCAGCGGTCACCAAACACATATCCATAGGATCGCTCGGCCCATCGATACTCTGTCAACCTATATAACGCAACTTGGATCTGTTTCCATCAACAGAAGTAGAAAGAATCTTCGCGTGTATGCTCTCGTTTTTAGGAGCAGTGAATTGCTAGAGATATAGGTATGAGTAAGGAGTACTAGCGATGCGTACAAAACAAGTGTCGAAACTCATACCAATATAAAATGATTGTAGTGATTCTGAGTAATCTTACTTCAATTTGAAGGACAAACAGGAGAAGATGGGGAGTCCAAGACACTTATATGCGAGCCATAACCGTCGACTGGCATGCGAAGGTGTGTTATTTCAATTGCATAGCCTGCGATCACTGGTCCGTGGCTCTAAATATCTACAAGGGATCTATTCAGATGGGTTTTGAGTGAGAGAATTATTGGAAGAGAAGAATAATCGTACGGATCGGGGAAAATGCACAGAGGTGGCATTTGGGGACGTCGAGGTGGTTCCTCAGGCTCCGAAGATGAAGCCGAGTACTTAGTTGCAACATTTCCTTGAACGGCGCAGGTGACTGTGCAGGCATGCAGACGTAGCCAGCTTGAGTAAGTACGAGGAATGAAGGAATGCAACAAATAAATCAAAGACGCCTACGAGTTCAGGCTTTTATGAAATTGGATGAGCCCCCTTTGCTTACGTAGTTAGTACCTAGTTTCGCCCCTTCCCACGGTGCGGAAGCAAATGCGACCACAATTGAGCAGAGAAATTTTCTTCGGGTGCTTAATCACTGTTTAAAAGCACACATGCCTCTCGAATAAACGGTAGAGAAAGAGTTTTGCTGTAGTTTTCCGAGCGATGCTTAAGAATATGTATTATTAATAGATACATAATCAGAACCAATGGATCATTGGCGCCGGCGAATCGAAGGTAGTTATTCTCTCCAGTTCTCTGCTTTCCATCTTTTATCGCTAATAATGGTAGATTTGGAGGTAAATTTGAAGAACGGGGCGATCAATATATACTCGAATTATCCTTGGATTAGATAGAGATACTACCGTCCACGCTTTCCGTTGGAATCACGCATTTAAAGAAAACAGCATCTTTGGCTGCAAGTATATATTAGCCTATCGCATATGTATGTATCTGAGTTAAGCACCATGCTCAATGATCTATCTCCGATGTATAATCACTGAGCGTTGAAGTGCCAAGACACTTTAAAAAGGCGCAATATGAACAACCGATTCTCCATCACAGATATCTCGAATAACATACCTGGGAAGACACCCTGGCTGGTAGGAGCAAACACTTCGAACAAGCTCTCGGAAAGATCGATGCTACCAGATCCATTGCAACCGGGGCATTCGTCGGCAACTGTCCCAACTGCTGTTTTGCCAGTGGTGACATCGGTGATCGTAATGGTACGTCCGCAAAAAACTCCATTATCATACTGAGTAGTTTCTAATATGACGGTTAACTGAAGCATATAAATTAGCAATAATATTCCCTTACGAAGCGCGACAACGTGGTCGGTGTCTTTATGCACCGTGCCACATGCTCCAGCGGCTCCGCCCTGTAAGAACCAGGTCGCGCTAATTGTCGCATTAAGACAGATTCATGAGGAAAACTAGTAAGGATACTCACGTCCCGTTGTGAGTGACTCGACGCTCGAGAGCAGCCGCACGGGTAGAGGCAACGCTAAGGAGCGCGACGAAGAGGCTAACTAAACTAGTGGAGTGCATGTTATTGGATTGTGAAGGTGGTAAGAGAAGTTGCGAATGGTAGTTCGATGAGAAAAATATGCGTAGTACCTCGTCTCTTTATACTCTGCTGATTATATTTAAAGATTGGGAATGTCGTGGGCTCTCCTCACATCGATGTCAAAGTCATAATTCTTTACCATTAATTTAACCCCATGGAGATTAACCTACACTGGAGAGACTGTATTCAGGAAACTCGGGGCGCCGATCGGTACTCGGTAGCAACGAGTGCACAAGAGAACGACCAAATTGCCAAGAATTACGTATTTTAAGAATATATTCCAGGATTTTGAGTTCCATGATATTGTATAATTTTGCTATACTTCAATCAGGGTTATCTTTCATGTTCTTATTCTAATAAACAATAACAGGATATAGAGTTAACTAGTATTGCACCTTTCTCATTGTTGTGATCACAAAATCGAACCTGTGATATCACTCATAAGAAACTAATGTGTGCTCTACAAAGAAAGAAAGTGAGTAATAAATCACTTGATATCCGGCAGCCACTCATAATCGATGCCAGCTGTTAACATCGAAACAGACGTTTGCTTGCTAAGAATAAAAATAGTAGGTGTTGAGTCTGAATCTCGGAGAAAAATGTCACATTACCCCGTCAAGTATCATCCTGTATGGCAAATTTTGTCTGTGAGAGAGCCGAGGATCCTGAACTTAAACATTCTTCTACGCGGATATGGTCCAGCTGCACGAGCTTCGCTAGTAAGCCTACCTCGATGCGCGTTGGTAAGTTTCGAAAGTGATTCAAACCAATGTAATGTCTTTGTTTGCGTCATTTAAAACCCAGAGCACTGTGGTTTCTTGATCCATTTTTAGTCGCTTTTCAAATCTTTAATGGAATTTTGTTATGCACACTCTTCCTATGGTACTATTGAGAATAACTTGCTTGGAGCACATAATGATTAGATTTATTGTGAAAATACATACATCTAAAATATTTGAATGAATTCTTGGGTTGAGACTTGACAAGTTTGAGTTTTCACCATGAAAAGATCATCGATTCGAGACTCCAGACGGGTACCTGCACAACTTGATTAACAGGGAACTTCCCCGATGGAGAGCGCCGGTAAGTCACGCCGTGAATGATCTGCGTATGATCCGGATCCTGCCGGTGCCTTAAAATGTATTCTAAACCATCGTCTTTCTGTACGAAGATGATTAGTGGTCAATTTTCAGTATCAATGACTCTCTTCACAGGTACCAAAAATAAATTATTGGCTGATTTCAAATCGTCGAAACTGCCAAATTGCTTCATGTCCGTAACTCATTTCCGAGTGGGTAAGGCGCATTCCACCTCAGATATTTATGTTAATTAAATTGCCTAAGCAATAGGATGTTCAGTAGAAAAACTTACGTGAGTCTAAGAGTACTGATCCCTCACTGTGGAATTGAGTCAGACACGAAGCCAGCTGCATCAAACAAAGCGCACGATCGGATGTTCCTGTAACAAAACGGATCCCAAAGAAACCGGGAGTGTTGAACCCTGGTATCTACCTGTTCTCACTGTCTTTAGATACGCAGTCACTTGTTCAGATCTGTCATATTTTCTACCAGTAGCATCGACGTGACAAAGCTCTGGGAAGTATCGCAGATCTGATCAAAAATGCGGCATCCGTTAATTTAGGAGCAGTTTCAATCCCTACTTTATAAATATGCCCCTGTGCGTAAGCAAGTGAGAACGATATTCTCCCGCCGGCATACCGGACCCACCCCCAACAAGGAAAACACGCCTAGGTATACATCATTTGGTCTTTAAAAATGCAGTAATTTATGTTCAGTTATTCTATTCACTCAAATATGTTGAATAAAGAACTATAAGTGTCCCCAGGTTGTATTGTCCGGATTCCTCTATGTCGTATGTATCTACCTCCGTTGCCCCTGCAGATCATAACCGCCCACTCCCACACCCGCCCACACCCGCCCACACCCGCTCACTCGTAATTTCAACTTCCGCTCTCGCCAGCATTTCCTCCTGCTCGTGTTGAACGCACTTCATTCAATGTCATCCAGACACCAGTCCAACCAGTTACTTTGCCTCGGTTTGTCTTAATACCATGCCTGACAAGTACATGTGATTTCCGTTCAGGGCGCCAAACGTCGCTGGGCATCACTGGACTATTCTTCCCCCGTCCACCTCGTACTGTTGGCCTATGTCTCAAAGGGAGTAAGCGTAATTGCGCTGGATATAATTTGGAAATACATTACGATTTTTGCGATACTGTCCACGTTACCTGCTGATGCTTGGAGTGCCAGCCGCATTGATGGGGGGGATTCGGTAAACTTTCCCTGCAAAAGTTATTATTCCAGGGAAAGCATTTATTATTTTCTATTGCATTATTCTTTTTGAATCTTTTATCACAGGAAGTACTGCGTGAGGATGATTGGAGCGTCCTCCTCACCTGGTATGCACGCCCCATACGCGTCCTTCGCGCAAGGAGACCCAGGGATCGGTCGTGGGTAACTACACTAAAGGACAATCTCCTTGTCTCCTGCTTCATTACTCTAGAGACCAACCTTGATAATGCTAGTGAAGTAGAGACTTAATGTATAGTACATTGCGGTATATAGTCTAATAGACCTTCTACTTGACAAGTCACTAATTCCCCAATATACAATAAGATTCAGAAATAATTCCTACGAGTACCTAATTATGTTCTAATCATATTTCTTTAGAATTCATTGCGAGGTCATCTTTTTTAACTTATTGGGTTTGAATTCCGTACTCACATGTTCCTTGGAAAAATAAACTGACTTTGACTGACTAACTTCGGTTAAGCGGACCTCACAGAAATGAAATATCCCTCGTGGATTTTTATTTATTTATTTCGACTCAGAAACCCTAAAATTGTGAATAGAAATCGTGTGATTACGTGGTTGTTTAAGCACATTTCAATGTAAGTTGCAAGTTAGAAATGATCTGCAACGATGCATAATATTTGAATGGCAGAGCTCGCCCATGGGCCATTGGTTATCGGTGGGACGTTCAGCGAAACATTTATCATATCTCGAAAAGTAGATTCAAAATAGAACAATCAGGAACGATGTTCAAAGCGAGATTGATTTATCAGAAGAGAAGAGATACAAAACGGCCCAGACAGGACATTTGAAGATGCAACCACCTCAGCGTTGCTCCGGCTTTCTACGAAAAATGGAGAAAATATTCCGACAAGGGGAATTGAACCTCTGGCTATGATCTCATCGTCGACTTTGTAGCCTGGTTGAGGAAAGGTGGGGAAAACGAACGAAACATTCGTTGTTCAGATACTCTTTAATAGGAATAATTGAGAGGCGATAATGTTAGCCACTACACCATATCGGATATAGCAGCTTATACATAAGTAATTCCAATGCCGCTGGAACAATTGGCAAAAGTGTGAGATCTGGAAATTGTTGATCTAGCAACATAACAAAGATAATAGGAGTCGACTATAAACATTATTGAAATTTCTACGCAAACTATAGGTCAACCCAGTAATATACAGCCACCAATTAAAAAAGGCACCTTTCGCCCAAATACCCACTCCGTTTCTTCAACGCAGCGAGACATACGACGACATACCCTATAACGACAATCCCAGCGCAACATTCGCCCACGTCTCTTCGCTTTCATCGCTTCCACTGCCGGGGTCAAGGAATTGATCCCCCATCCACGTCACATCCTCAGAGCGGGACATGCTTCCTGCAGAACATCAGGAAAGTTTGCCAAACGGCGCTTCCGCTAACTAGCACCAGATAGGCTAAGTGAGCTATAAAAGTGCACACAGGTTAAATAGGGCTATATAGCACTACATAGCACTATATAGCACTACCTGGTGCTCATACCACGAGCGCCCGTGCCAACTTTCCTGATGAAGGAAACCATAAGAATCATGGCTTCCTCATATAAGTTCGATTATTATTCAAGGTATTTGAGAGCCCGTTGTCTATAGCGCTCACTGAGCGGTCACACAACTTGACAGGACCACTGTGTATACGTCTAGGAACGAGGACGGTCTACATGTACGGAGTACGGATTACAGGTTCGGTGCTTATGTAAGTAGTCCAATAGCGAATATAAGGGAAACCGGGAACAATTATAATGGTAGCGTGGAAGACTGGTTGATCAGGCTTACAGTATTGCAGATCATACCTCCTATTATCGAATGTGATTCCCAACCCAACTAAATCGGAGCACGTAGCTAATAATGGAGTATGCGAATCTTCGACTAGCATGAGACCATATTGACAAGTTCTTCTTTGGTAATACGGAAGCTCTGTTCGGAAAGAAAAATGACTTCTTTTAACTCGGGAAATCTAACAGTGGGGGTGGGTGAGCTGGGATTAATCAACATCCAAAGGCTCGGCCGACGGTACGGATAAGGGAAACGGAATGGGCGCATCAGATCCAGGCTTGTGTACTAGATAGAGCCACGATGCCTCAATCCCTATGATCTGTAGGTATCGCTCCGCGGAGAACCTGTACGCGACGTGCATACCGATGAGTGAGGCCATTCCAATCGTCCTCACGAATGTCACGTAGGAATATCTTTGATTGATAATCTTCAGTTTAAAATGAATAATGTAATATTGATCGCGACAAATGCTTAATCTTCGATGACAGGCTTCACAGGCATTAAGATGATCGACATTATCACATTGAAGGTGCAGCTCCTTCAGCGCTGGATTGACCACCAAGCATCAGTCAACAACATGCACATTACTGAAAAATGCCAGCATCTCCCCACATAGCATCCAGCGCAGTTTTGCTTCTCGCCTTTGAAACGGAGGGCAACGGTATAAGGTAGATGGGAGAAAGGTAGCCCAAACATGTCCGGCGACGGTCGGCGTCTGCGGCACATCCTGATGGATCCAAATCATGTAGGCTATGTGAATCTTCAAGAGAAGTAAGGAAATACTCGCAGATGTTGCGGAAGAGCTCGTCGGTGGAGAAAAGACGGTGCATGTTGTATGGGAAAACATTGGGAGAAAATCTGATAAGATTGATTACGTAATGTCACACACGATTTTTCTTGAATCCCGACGCCTCATCATTGGATGGTCGCGCCATCAAATACTCAGCCAATCTGATTCTAAGCCAATATCCCTCGGTCCTCGGTCAAATTTAATGTAAAATTTTCCGATAGATAGCGTTGGGAGTAAATAACATCTATGCATACAACTTTGAATGGGTCCAAGAGCCGTTTGAATGTAAGCACCAACACCGTTAGCCAATGTGAAGAAGATAATTGATAATATAATTATTTAATGCCAATTAATGTATACAATAAGTAGAGTACAGTTCAAATCATTGAGCCATTCTATCATACCTCCATAGGCACGAGTGAGGGTCATAATCTATCTTTAAGTCAGCATCAATCCGTTTGCGCAATTTAAAAAGTCCACACCGAAATAATAATCATTTTCTGCGGACAGTGCATCAGCAAAGTGTGCAAAGTCTATATAGCACTAGGCAGCCTCCCTACTCCGCCTGCATGAGACGCTCGTGGTAGGCGGGGTAGGCTATTGCGGATTCGCTAATTACGGTATATAGCACTATCTAGCGCTAAATACCTATGTCTACCACTCATACTGCCCCCTACCACCGGCGCTAAGAGGCGTGCGTGCCAGGTTTCCTGATGTGCAAGTACTGAGTATGTCTGCATCCGATGTCATTGAAAAAATGTAGTTTGTTTCTCGGAAGGAAAAGGGCTGTTGCCAGGCTGTGCACGGGGGCGTCTCCCCAACGTTAAAATTTGTTTCGCAATGAATTGTGGGATGTTTAGGGAATAGAAGGGGAACGTGCTTCGTAATAGAAACCACCGACATGGTTTAGGTGATCAAAATAAGCGGAGTATGCTTCCGCTCGCCAAAACTCCATGTCGGCGATTTCGAAGTTGCTCCAGACTGCATAAAATAAGGAGCACAGTAAATTGTTATCCATTCAAAATTGTGAGATCTACTCACAATGACAAAGGTTATAGGTTTTTCCCCCGTCGTCGGAAATAAAGTTGACTGCGTTGTCGGGGGCGAGATATCGAGGATTTTTTTGTCGCGAAGTCTGTGGGAAATGTTCGTTATGGAATCATTAATACCAGACATTTAGAAACACACTCAGAACCGTATTCCACAGACTTGGAACTGTAGGGAGGAACTCGTATCGCGTCATAGTGAATCCTGCACAAATTATTATTAGCGTCCTTATATTTCGGAATGCGATCGTGTACTAGCCATATATTTTATCCTTGTCTTGCATGTGTAGAAATGGGTCATAGTCGAGGTCACAGTAGAAGTCTAGGTTGGGTCTGGGAAAATGTTAACATAGGCTTATGGAGCGATGAGAGATTGGCCTACTCGATCCTCCAATAATAGCGATTTAGAGGTACGACTACGAAAGATCATAAGATGTAATAATGGCAGAGGAGAATCGTGGACACGTACGAAATGAATTGCTTCGAGAACGGCTGATCGTTGAGGAAACTCCACGGATAATTAAACCTGCGATTGAATCGATCCTTTAGTTACTTTATCGAGTATGTTGCGGTATTGACTTCTTCATTACGTGCTAGAATAAAGATAACGGCATTGACGCGCCGAGGGATGGAGGAAGCGTTGACTGGTGTAGGATATCTTGAACTGCTGAAGGTATGTGGAAACTATGTTTGGTATCAATGAAGTATAAGATTTTAGAGAGTTTGAATCGAATGAGCGTCGCTAATGAAACAGGGCTATCTAGACGGCGGATTAGATTCTAGAAGCGTATTCGTCGCGTAAAAGCCACTGGGAATCCGGGACGTACCAAGGACACCAGTATGACCAGAGTACATAGCGTTGATAGCATCGAGGGAGGTCAAGCACGTAAACATATTGAAGCTGAAGCGCTTGTTCGGACCGTTTACTAAACTGTTTGGTCAAGCTCACAACGAGCTCAACAAGAATCGAAAGTTACCCTTGCGTTAGCCAGGGCTCTTTCCACTCCCTTTCAAAAACGGGCGTCTCTCACGTCTATTTGTATGCATGGATGTAGGTCCATATGTACTTCGCGACATTTATAACCGTTCCTTTTAAAAACGCGTTCCGAAGAAAATAAAATAATAAAGTAAATGAATGAGACAACTATTATTGTTTCAAAATCCTTATTTGAACGTCACAATAGAAAATCTTATCATGAGCGCAAGGGTTCTGCCTCCACGAGGCCTCTAGTCTCCAGCTCCACTTCTGTGTTATGTCAGCTCTTCCCACGCGTCCAGTTTCCAAACTTCGTCTCTGGAGCAGATTTCCAGTTAAAATTCCGACCAAGATCCTACACAATGAGGCTTTATTCATGTGGACAAGTTATTTATTTCTCAGGTGTCTGAAGTCACCAGCTCCGCTCGAAACATCGAAACACCGCTACCTATGACTGGCTCAACGCGGTCCGCCAATGAAATAATTAGCCGAATTAAACTATAGTTTTTATTGATCATGTCTAAACCAACGGTATTGGTAACTGCATACAGAAAATCGTAATTATTTACCTAAAATACATTCAACCACAATCTCTATTCGTCCTCAGATACACGAAGGACCAATTTTCCTGCATGATTCTCCTTATGATAGTCTTCCATGAGAGTTTCTATATCTTCCAAAGGATACGAGCGGGTTTTTACTTCGATACCTGGGTGTGTTGATATGTTAGCAGGGAACTTCAAGAGGGCCATTCACGCACCTTTATCAGCGATAAGGCTCATCATCTCTTTCAGGGTTTCCGCGTCACATAGTAATGAACCCTTAACGTTGATATTTCGGATAATGAGATGGCTATTATGAATGGGCTATGATCCACATAAGTCATCAAATAAACTCCAAGAATATCTGTACTGACAATCGGCTCATATGCTCTATTTGGAATTTTAAAAAATTCACAACTACCAAAGGTGCTTAGACTGAACTCACTGTCCAATGACGACCAATGTTCCGTGCTTCTTTGTTATTTGTAATCCGTATTCGTGGGCAGCAAGGGAATCGGTAGCTATCAAAGTAGCATGTGCGTAGCCACCTATCGTCTTAATTGCATAGTCAACGCCTTGGCTTGCATCAATGCTAAAGTCCTAAAGATAATCAGCATAAATGGTTAAAAATTGAAAGCCTTGACGTTACTGGAGCATATTTCAAGGATTGGACAAGGTCTAGTGGAGCCTGCCGCGAGTCGACACAAACTACCCGTAAACCCAAGCACTTGGCGAATTGGACTCCTAGATGTCCGAGAGCCTGAAACAATTAAAGTGAATAGACAAGATATGACGGATGAAGATTTTCTAACCCCAGCACCGATGATAGCCACAGTTTGTCCGGGACGTAAGT